AATTGTTTCATTAACTGTAAATTCCATTTATTCTATTTTTCTTCTAAGGGCATGTTTATGAGTTCGTGACACTGTACTTTGAAACTATATTAGAGATATTTACCACGCAAAATGAAATTTAAATACAATGAAAATACATGGGAATCGGAATACCAAAAACAAAAAAATCCATGGAAACCGACTTGTGACCCATGAATTTGATCTGTGACCTACTTTTCAAAATAGTTCAAAGAGCCGATGTACAGCTTATCATTAAGAAGTAAGTCAGTGCTATTTAGCATGTGTACTGTTTGTCATAAGATCTTAAAAAATACCGGTGTGACAGTCCACTTGACTTTAGTTTAGTTTTAAGAATAATTTTATTCATGATATATATATAGATTTATATATACAATGAACATGGATTGAACAACAGGCAAAAATAGCCTATATTTGTTCTCTCCTTTGACCCCTTCGCGAAAACTCTTCGAACGCTTAATTTAAAAACCTCCTTTTGAATTTTGAGAGGCAGAGTTACAAATAACTAGTACATACATGACATGTTTATGAGTTCGTGACACTGTAATTTGAAACTATATTAGAGACAATTACCACGCAAAATGAAATTTAAATACAATGAAAATACATGGGAATCGGAATACCAAAATAGATTTTTCAAATAAAGTTGTAGACTGACAATATTGCAGTAAAGAGAGACTGAAATCTCTCTTGTCAGAAATCTGGGGGATTGTTGAATTAAACAATGAATAAAATGACAAATAGGTATTTCTAATAATTTCAATTTCATTATTCATTTATCCTTGAGGGTTTGGGACACATATTTGTATTTAATTACCATAGTCTTTTGCATTCAAAAGCTAGTAGCAGATAAATAGCTGGCCACTCTTAGATTTATTTATATCTTTAATGATGTCATGCGTTCCTTGGAACACTCTAGTTCCTTCTAAGACGATGTTTTGATGACATAGAAGAATTTTAGCCAGCTATAGACATACAGGAAGAAGTATATAACGAAATAATGTAACATGAAGGTTTTTTCTCCACGGTTATGAATACGAACTTATTTTAATTCTATTATTTTTGTTTTTAATAATTGTCAATTTTAATTTTGATGCCTAATTTAACAATAATCCATATCGTAGTAACACACATTTTCTTTTCTTAAAATCACATAGAAATGGATACTTAAGAGTTTTCTGAGTACAGAACTAATTAGAGACATGGTAAATGATAATGTTTCCATGAACGTTGCATTTCTCTAGAAAAATAACTATTTTTACACTGTTAATGAATCATTTTAAAAACTTGTTTCTTTCAATCATTTATATTTTTATCTTTAATTAATGTAATATTTCAGGGCACTGTAATTGTTATAAATTCATTTACAACGATTGAGAAAGTATAAGACTAAGCACGTCACACATGTCTGTCATTGACATAATTGTTAAATTTTAAAATTGAGTTTATTCTATCTGCTCCTATTTCAAAACATTAACATTGACATAATTCTGCAACCTATAATACTATCTATAAATTAACTTTTTTTCATAGATTTTTAAGAGCCAACAATTGAATTAAAATGATTGATTAATTATTGTTTGTTTGTTTGGCAGGATAGATATGAAATGTCACAAGTATAAAAATTTAAAAACATAATCTTTCAAACTTTTTCAAGTCCCTGTCTAAGTTCTTATTAATGACACCATTCGTGAACTTTGAAATTGTAATTTTTTTTATTGCTGCAGTTTCTAAATTATTACTATTCATAAAATCCCGTGATCTATATTCAAATCTATGATAAAGATCTTCGTCTCCTCAAACTTTGAATATTTGAATCAAATCTATCTACCGATACATGTATTGTCAAAAGAACTCAAAGGAGAAGCATTGCTTTTTAAGAAGTTAACCTGTTAATGTATTAAAATATACGCCTGTAAATGCAAATTTAACAACTCCTTGTTTATATTATGGAGCACATTAATTTAATTTCTTAAAGCATACTTACTTATTAAACTGAGGAATACAATTTCTAATTAGCAAATGTGTTGTCGTGGCCGAGTGGTTAAGGCGATAGACTAGAAATCTATTGGGGTCTACCCGCGCAGGTTCGAATCCTGCCGACAACGTATTTTTTATATGTACTTTTTACTCGAATTCACACTAATACATTTCTGAAGCCTAATATCTGGATAAATATATTTTCAAAATTGGACGTGAGCCAGTATGGTTAACATGTTTGTCTATTTAACAGCATTATTTGGGGGTTTCTGGCATTTTGCTAATTATAATTTCATGGATAGAAATTTTGAAATGAACGAATTAGATTCCTGTCGAATCTAATGTTTTCTTGATTGGAAGTGTTTTGTAATCCTTCATGCAGCTTCGCAAAACATATTTCCGGACATTTCAAATTAAAAAAAAAATCTTTCTCAGCTAGAGTTTGGTTCGTTTAGGAATAATTGGGAGGCAGATTATGTCACCATTACAAAATGAAAGAAATTAACCGGCATGGTAAACGAAAAGAAATATGATTTTTCATAGTAATTGCCATTTTGGATTCTTTTATACTCATATATAATTATTATCAGCACCTCATATACTTGGAATCTCCTCTTTTTATGATATTCTGTAGTTTTAAGTGAATTGATATAGCTATTTGCATTCAATAATTAAAAGAAGTAATATAAATTAAAATAAAAGAAGCAAGAGTGCCCAGATATTGAACATCTGAAGCATAATCCTCGAAAGTGCTCATATTCTTCTTCACCCTACAACTATATAGTCCTGCTGAACACGTCATTACGAGTGACGTAAATATAGCTGATAATGGGGACCATAAATCACTTATTTTAAAAGGGCCAAAATTTAGGGAACCCTGATCTTTTAACTTGCGTTATAATTCCACAAATATTATGAATTGTGTCAAAGATTACGCCAGACTATGAGCCAAATATGAATAAGAAGAATTTGACACTTTGTCAAAATGTATTAAAAGTGTCAGATGGATGTTGAAATCTTGCATTAAGAGATTGAGGGGCAATATGAAAGCCATCTATCCTTCTTCTTCAATAATTCAGAGGTGAAAAAAGAATAAGATGGATTACAAGATCAGTATGTACTGGTCCAAGATGACAAAGCAGATAACAACACTGTCTGTTTGTAAGGTTCAATATTTTAGTTGTATTTTTAGAGGAACTGGGATTTGATTCTGCAAGTGGTAATCCAACTTATACCCATAGCTCTCTTTCTAAGGAGGAAATTCTTCAAAATCATATATCAGTATTAAATATTTTTAATATTAGCAACAATCAAAATGATTTTGAATTACCATACCTATACTGGATTCCTAAACTTCAAAAAAAAAAAAAAAAAAAAAAAATACTTACAAACAAATATGCATAGCGGGTTCCACTAAATGGTCTACCAAGCATATTTCCTTTCTCCTCACTAAAATATTAACAGCAGTGAAGGAGAAACTTCATGAGTACTGTACAGCAGTATATTCGAGAAGTGGTGTTAATTGGATGTGGATACTTAAAAAGGAACGTTTAGAAAAATTAAAAATTACGAAATTTTACCACTTGCGACTTTTCAACTCTTTATACAACTATTCTTCACGATAAATTTAAGTCCAGGCTATTTGATATCATAGAAGCTCCTTTTTCAATAAAAATGGAACACGTAAATTTACCTACTTTGTCAATGGTCATTTGCAAAGTTATCTTTTTTAAAAAAAACATCCTGACTGTACACACAAGAACTCTGAGGTAGATATTAAAAAATGCATAAGTTTCGTACTGACTGTATCTATGTAGTTTTATTGGAGAACAGGAACAAGTCTTCCAACAATTATCAGAATTCCACGGGCACCAATTACGCCCCTTTATTAACAGACATATTTTTGTATTCATATGAAGCAGAGTTTATTCAAAACCATACATGAGAAGAAGAAGACACTTGCTGAGACCTTAACTCGACATTTATAGATATATCGACGACGTTTTATCAATTAACAATAGTTACTTCCATTCATATGTCGAATTGATATATCCCAGTGAACTTGAAATAAAAGATACCACAAAGTTTGACACATCTGTTTCATATTTAGATATTTTACTAGGAAAAGACGTTAATGGTAACCTAACAACAATACTTTATGATAAACGCGATGACTTCAAGTTTTCTATCGTCAGCTTCCTTTACCGTTGCTCATGCAGGAAAGTACCCTTATCACCTGTATAAGGGAATCCAGTTGATTCTATACGCAAGAACATGCTCCATTCCACTTTTAAACAATTTCTAAATCGAGCCAAGCTATTGACAAACAGGCTGACAAAACAATGAAATCAACAGTCTTGTTTAAAGTTATCATTTCGCAAGTTCTATGGGCTATTATTTAGTCACTAAATTGTCTACGCATTTTTCCGTTTGCCCGACCATGAGAACGAGAACATGGCGGGTGTTACTAGTAGACAGGGGATGCTTTCTCCTACATGGCACCTGATCCCACCTCTGATTTCTATGTTTATTTTACTCCAGATTTGTAATGTTTCAGTGGACTTCTGAGCTTGATTACTGTTTGTTATCTCCATATGGGTTTATTGACCCTTTAATAAAAAAGGTGAAAGATCTAATCGTGGATTGAAGAGAAACCAGAGTTTTAAGAAACATATCGCTTACATGGTTATATGACTAACATTCCTTTGCAACTTGGTACAACAAGAAAAGCTATTATATTGTCCTTAGATAACCCAGGAAATTAAATTTACCTATTGTCAATCAGATAATTTACGTCTAAGAAAAATCATATTTAAAGCTCTATGCACAATTAAGATAAATTTTCGTCAGCTAAATGTGATCGGGGGGGGGGGGGGGGGGTATTTCTTGAGCGATAATTTTTTGTTTTGCTCTATTGAGCTTTTCCTAAATGAAAAAACAAGTTTCATTTTCAAAGCAAATTTTACGTTTTGAAAACAAAGGGATGGCATCACACCGATGTTTTAAGTAAAGGGAGGAATGCAACACTGCCTCTGAGAGTTTCCTTCACACAGACTCTCGTAATACGTGCCGTTGCAGGGGATATAATTAGGCCAACAGCGACCACCTTTTCGCAAACAAGGCTTATCTTTATCTGAAAATAAAATTGAATGTTGTTATTTTTGACTGCAAAGAAAAAAAAAGAATATTAGACAAAAATTTCAGAAAAGAGGCATTTGAAATAAATAAAAATCAACAATCAATATTTATAAGATAAATTTCTTGCCAAGTTATTGATATTTCAAAACCTTTAAAGAGTTCCAAAAAGTTTTGTAATTGTTTGAATTTGATATATATCGAGAAAATTGCTGTAAAGCTTGAAAAATCACCATTTCGGGTATTAATTGCGTATGAAATTGATCAAAACTTAGAGGTCCGCAGGCACATCGTTCAATTTATATTAAATTATTAAGTTATATTCTGCATTTTTTCTACAGAACATTTTTCATTAAAATAAAATTCATTGATTGAGTTAATCTGGAGTTGTTTTAACTATTTATGGGTATCGTGGTATATTTCCTTGTTTATTACCGTATTTTAAACTCGAATATTTCATTTTTATACCGCAGTTCGTTATCATCACCTTTTTCATATTTCAAACAAGTCCAAGTTTAAGTTTATTTATTCACTCAAAACCATCTACATATATGGTACATGAGGAGAGTGCAAAATATTAACAGTATATAAATTCAGGTCAGAGGTACAAGTATTTGATAAACAAGTACTTATTCAAAAATGATTGTGGAGGACAATATTGAAAAAAAAAAAGAAAGAAAAATACATATATTTCATATAATAATCGTAACACTGGGGAAAAAATCAAGGTGGACAGACTAAATCTGGACTAAAGGGATGGTTCTACAAAAAATTATATAAATTTAGAACATTTCTAAGGTATTATTTTTTATTTCAATTCCTTCGTTGATAAGGTAGTTTTTTAAGTAATTGTATATGAAATTAGTAAAAGCAACAATATTAAAATTCAATTAAGTAAGCGTTTACCTGCGTTAATTTGGTAGTGTGACCATTTCCTTATGGCATTGTACAACGTGTAGCCGGGACACTCAGAATCTTTTGTTGTTACGTCATAGTGTCCGTAAAGTTTGTACGATGGAATGATAACTTTTCTGTACACAGCGCATTCCAAAAGCTTACGAGCTGACATCAGTGCCGGCTTAGAAGGCATTGTGTTATTGAAGTTTCCAATGAAAGATGCGGCCAATGCAATATCATTATAATTTTTTGTATGTGTTCCAATGCGATTCCAGCCTCGTCCTTCAAAGGTCTGACCACTGCCAGCGATTAGAAAATTGTAGGCAATATCATGCCACCCTAAAACATAAGTAATCAGAGATTACAGAGCTCATCTCAACGAATGTTGTCTTAAGTAAGGCAAAGTCCCACACTAAACTACTGATCTAGTAGTGTGCATTCCTAAATGCAACATTTATGCAGTTTCGGTTTGATGGGGCTTGCAGTCTTTGGAATGGACTTCTCGAAAAAACTCTAAACTAGTCTCTCATTAAAAAAAAATGTAAGTAAAATCCAGCATCTGAAGCATGATTGAGAGTGTTCATCCCTTTTAAAAGACTTCATGCATACAAGTTTCGTGGCCTTATAGTTTCTTGGTAATGTCCCTGGTCCAAAAACATTAACCTGGTCACTCGTGGAAAAGGCAGGCCAAATCCAGCATCTGAAGTAACTTTGGTAGTGTATCTCTTGACGCATCATCCATGCAAGTTTGGCTCAGGTAGGCCTTATAGTTTCTTGGTCATGGTCCAGCTTCAAAAACGTTAACCTGTTAACTCATCAGGAAAATGTAAGTCAAATCCCGCATCCAAAGCGACCAAGGTAGTGTTCATCTATAAATGTATCTTCGGTGCAAAGCTGGCAAGCATAGAGCTCATGGTCACTTAAGAAACTGCTCCAAAAACTTTAACCTGGTCGCTCATCTTTAAAATGTAGGTCAAACACAGTGTCCGAAGCAAGCACTGTCATGTACATCCTTAAATGTATCATCCATGCAAGTTTGGTCCTGGTAGGACAAATAGTTACTTTAGAATGAACCTACTCCAAAAACGTTATCCTGGTCAGATGCAGGTCAGATCCAGCATCCGAAGCAAGCCCATTAGTGTGTAACCTTAGAAGTATATCATTAATGCAAGTTTGGTCAACATGGGGCTTATAGTTACTTGGTAATGTCTCTGTTCAAAGAAACTTTAACCTGGTCACTCATCTGGAAAATGCAGGTCAGATCCAGCATCCGAAGTGAGTCCAGCAGTGTACATTCTTAGATGTATTATCGATGCAAGTTTGGTCAATATAGGCGTGCCGTTACATAAAAATGAACCTCCTCCAAAACACTTTAATCTGGTCACTCATCCAGAAAATGTAGGTCAGATCCAGCATCCGAAGCAAGCCTGGTAGTTTGTATTCTTAGATTATCATCCGTGCAGGTTTGGTCAATATAGGGGCTTATAGTTACTTGGAATTTAGACCTGCTCAAAAAACTTTAACCTGCTCAATTAACTTTAACCTGCTCCAAAAACATTAACCTGTTTATTCTTAAGCTGAAATCGCAGCATCTGCAACCTTGACTGGTACACTGAATCATTCTGGAGATATTCTCCATGCATTTCTGATTAATAGAGCATATAAGTACTAACCACTTCAGACTACATGTTGGCAACAATATAAAATCAAAATTATTCATTGGAATGGAGGGAGATTTTTTTTTAAATCCTCTGATAAAGAACATCATGGCCATGGTGACTTAATTGATTATCGTGGCCCATATATCCTTATTTTATATTTCAATGTTAAACTTTAATCCTTTTTTTTTTTGGTCACACCCTTCCCCGAGATCCATAATTACAGCAACTAAAATATATACTTTGTCGGAAAATTTGTACATGTTTCAAATTTTAAGGCAGAGTGGGAAAAAAAAATTAAAATGATTTTTTCCAACATATTCCAGTGTTAAATGTTGATTCCCTTTTTGTCCAACATTACCTCCTTTTGAACTATTTAAATTCTTCACTATAATAGGAATTTTTTATGCTTCCTCTTTTCTTGCCAAGAGGTTCTTGTGAAGAGTTTATATGACCCCATCCTATTTTTGCCTTTCATTTGTTATCCCTACTTGAAAAAGGAAGTTCTTTATTAAACAATTTAAATCTAATATACGCAAAGATGCCTTGTACCAACATTGGTAAAACTTGCCCCAGTGATTCTTGATATGTAAAGAAATGTGAAGAGCTTATAGAAGGACTGGTGATCAGACTGACAGAAAGACAGACGGACGCCGGACAATGATTGATCAGAAAATCCCACTTTCAATAATTTATGGCACAGATGAGCTTAGAAGTAAGCTGGAATTAAAAGTACATGTAGGAGTTACGAGGTCAATACCCTTTGTATTTAAAAAGAAGTCTTTTATCACTAATAAGATAACATAATTACCCCTTCCACTTGAAGAGATACAGTTTAATTCAATATTTTAAAAATATATTTTTGAGGAGTGGGTCATGTGTAAAGCTCACAGATGCAAGGTCGTTTGCAACATATCCTAGGAAAAAAATAAGTGTTATGATTCTTATGGCCAAAGTAAGAATTTGACAGATGGAAACTGGCAGAATGGGCAAAGTTACCCTAAACTAAACTGCCGTCTAACTTTCTAGGCGACAAAATCATCTAAGTAAGCATGAACCTACCTTTTCCAATGTGATAGCGCTGTATACTTTGAAGCAATTTTGAACATGATTTTGTGTCTTGACAATTCCCCGTTTCTGTGTGGTGCAAAAAGAACTTGGTTACGGGTAAAGACATGTTTGAAATTAAGTCCGGACGGGCAGCTCCCCATGTGTCACGTGACAGGATTGGTAGGTCTAGATCTTTACAATCACCCGTGTCTTGATCTGAACATTCAATGATATTTGTAAATTTGTATTTACAACATCATAAATGTATATCATGAGAACATGTCTGATACTAGTTTTATAAATGTGGTTAGTATATTATCTTCTCTAGAAAGGGTATTTAAAAAATCAACCCTCACATGGAGAGATGTAAACTCTCTGTTGTTAAAGTTTTGGATTTATTAATTCCATGGTAATTTTAAACTTCCTTGAAACGGAAGTGTACATTAAAACATTAACAGCCATTTTTCCTTTTTAAAATTAGAAGAAAATCCTAATCAAAAGTACTCTTAATTAATTTATCATTTTCTTATAATCCCTGTTAAGTATTACTTTCACAGAATCATACCTCGTGGAGTTGGCAAACAACATTTGTGTGTTGAATTCTCGTAGCAATGAGCAGGGATATAAGAACCCCCTTTGCACTGTGTTGTGTCACTCTGACATTTCCCATCATAGGCATTGCAGGATGGGTCGTCTAAAAGATATATCAGCAACATTCTCATTTAAACATTCACACTACGGTTGGATAAAAAGTTCTTATTTTAAGGTATGTTACAGATCAGCTTTTAAGTAAAGTTCAGTCAGGACCTATTACTTCAAAACTATTCATTTCAATTCTATTTTTATAACATATTTGAATTAAACAATGTAAATTAAACAACATTCAATAAAAAAAATTGCTTACAAAGTCATAAAGAAAAAAACATTTATGGGGAACTATTTCTTGTGGTAGAAGGAAATTTAAAAGAAAATTCGTCAAATGTACATATTTGTTACATTTAATATCTTAGAACTTTAGACCCACATATTTTTATTCAGAGAATATTTTCCGTTATATGCGAAGAATATTAAATATGGTTTTCAAAGTATATTCTTATAAGAAATTTTACACATTCACTCAACAGACTTTGCCAAGAAATAAACATATATTAAAGACGCCTAGATAAAATTTACACTGATTTTTGCCTGAAAATTGCTTATTTCATTGCTGGCAACTACGTAAAAGTAAATTTACTCAACCTGCAATTTGTAAACCAAAACAGAATCCCTGTTTACTTAGTCTTTCGTAGATGGCAGTGACAATAACGTGAAAAATATGCTGTTTCATAACTTTTCTAAATAAATAAGAAAAAAGGTGTAGCTGTGTGTGTATTATTGTAATTTCTTTAAACAATCCAATTTCAATCATACAGCTTGTACTTGCACAGTTAAATACGTGTAAGAGGTATTTAAATTTCTGAATAGATTGTTATGAAAATCGACTGCAAAAAGTTAATTTTAGGTGCGTTATTACATAGCATTTCTTTAAATTTAGCAATTTCATAGATACAACCTGAAAAAGGTTTAATTGAAATTAAAATTGGTGATAGAAATGGAGATACCAGACTCGCTAACATCCATATATTCCTTTTCGTTTTAATTCCAGTGGAGTTCGGAATAGTTCTTTAAAATTGAGAATGCGAGTTGTTAATCATAATCTTTTATTTCAATCCCTTGAGAAATGTCAATGGAAAATACACAATTAAAAAGTCTTGATAAGCAGTAATCAGTAGTGTTTGAAAACTTTCTATTATAACAAAGAAGAATGAGGAAGGCAAGAATTGCAAGAAGTCCCCAAAAGAGACCCTCTAAATAACTATTGCAATAAAAAGGGGAAAGGGGTATAAAACTATTTTTAAAATTCTATTTTGGGAAAAATCACGAAGATTGATGACGTTGATGACTTTGTGTCTCAATACTTTAAAATAATACATGCACATACCGGTTTGGAAGGGGAATAAATCGTATATCAGACATTGAGGGTCACTGCAACTCACAACATTGTTCACTTTAATGTTTGTGCCGTCACTCAAAGTTATTAGTAGTGCTGTACGATTTGCAAGGTACTCTTTTAAATTATTAACAGCTAATTTAATCTTTTGGTAGTCCTCTGTTTCCGAGTAAAGGTGAACATGAATTGGAATGGATGAACTTAATTCTTTGAAAATATCCGGACCGATTGATTTATAACTCAAACCAGTTTCCTTCCACTTAAAAGACTGGGAGAGTGTTTTACCAGTTTCATTGGCCAGGACATCTGTGTCTTTCCCAGTTTTATTTTCCAAATAAAACACAAGCAATTTTGCCCATGGCGGAATGATTGGTGTTCGTTTACAATGTTTTAACCATTTATAAAATCCTTTGAAAACTCCATCCATCTTAAAGATATCACCCCATGCTAAGTCACAATATCGAAACTCATTATGTGGTTCCAGAAAACATGTTGTCGTTGCCCATTCTAATTTTGAACTGATTTTTTCACAATCATTGAATACCTGCGGATAAAGCATGTGAACTAAACTTTCCTGTATGCATGATTTCACAGCATTTATCCATGACCTGCCCTTCTCATACATCTTTTTTGCGATATTGTCCCATTCTTTACATTTATTCTCAGTTTCCCACACCAGTGGACAGTTTTCTGTTTTCGCCAAGCATTTCGAAAACCAGGAACAATTTCCAGATGGAAAATAACAGTCTATAAAAGATGTTTCAGACGTTTTCTGACTGTTAGACTTCGGGTCACATTTGCATGCGGACAGACCTCCATTAGATGGAGTTGTAGAACATAGATACCAACAATACTTTGCATCTTTCCACTTACAACTTATATGACTGGGTGTCGTCACCTTCATCTTATCCTTTCGTAAACAAATTGCAGCCTGAAATTCTGAATATGAGGGCGAATGGACACAATCTGTTAACCCGGAGGGTCCGTTCATTCTGTCACAGACTGTATAAACTTCAACGAAAACAAATTGCATGCAGAAAATCTGTAAAAGCATATTGGCACATATATTTACAAATTTTCTTTTTCCTTACGTAGACTTGCTCTTTAACAAATTTCACTTTGCAAATCAAAAATGAATAAAAAATTTCCCCTTTTTTATTCTCACGTGACTGTTTAAACTACTTCAGTTCTAGCGGGAAGATTTACACCTTATTTTACAATGCTTTTCACGATTCCTTTTTTAAGGTCTTCCGTCTTCAGCGGAAGACCTTCTTGTTATTCTTTGGGTTTCTTTTCCACTATTTTTAAGGTCTTCCGTTTCCAACGGAAGACCTTCTACTGATTCTGTTGTTTCTTTTCCACTATTATTATTATTTTTTTTTTTCTTACCGATTTTGTGCAGGCGATTTCTCGAGAACGCCTCGATAGATTTTCATGAAACTTTCAGGAATGATGGCAAATCATCTGAACTTAAGGCGTTTTTTTTTTAATTTTGTCGTCGTCACTTCCGGTCGCGAGATACGGCCAATTTTCTTTTTTTAAAGTTGCATTTTGTCCGAAAGTGTTCTCAAAAACGCTTTGAGATTGAGTCCTGAAACTTTCAGGGATGATAGATTGTGACTCGTAGATTTGAATTTCCTGATTAGTGTATGTTGCCGTGACGTCCGTTGTCCACCGGAAGTAGTTTTAAAAAATGCAAATTTTTATTTTTTTTCTTTTTTAAATGTTTACAATAGAGATAATAGAGGCAAATAGACTTTCTCAAGTCATACTATTTCCACCGGAAGTTATTTCTTCCAAACCGGAAGTAGACGAGAAAATGCTCATTTTTCTTCGAAACTTTGGGGGATGACTCCTCCACACTCAGTGAGGAGTTAAAAGTCATTTTGAGTACTTCCGGTCATACCGGAAGTGAAGATAAAAGACCGGAAGTTGTTTGAAATTGATAGATTTTACTCTTTCATGTGTTGCTAAGCATATTTTGACGAATTGATATGAACATTTTTTTTCATTTGAAGTTGTTCTACTTTCTTGTAATCAAAATTTCCCAAATCTAACGGAAGACCTACTCGTTGCTCGCAACGAGATCTCATCTAGTTATTATTATTTTTTTTTTCTTACTGATTTTGTGCACGCGAGTTCTCGGAAACGGCTCGACGGATTTTCATGAAACTTTAAGGTCTAATAGAACATCAAAAAATCTAGATATATTTTTTATTTTGATGACGTCACTTCCGGTTCGGAGATTTCAGCGATTTTATGATTTTGAGAGGGTCACTTTGTCCGGCAGTGTTCTTAAAAACCACTGAACATCGAAGTATGAAATTTTCAGTGATGATAGAGCAACCTATATAGAAGTGAATTTTGTATATCATTACCACCGGAAGTACGAAACGCCGACGCTCGCTATTGCCCGAAAATAGTCATATCGAGAATTTCTAAATTTCTAACTCTTTGTCTACAATATCTTTTTACCTGTAAATATTTTATTAAAACATATAAAACAAAAGAAATGCAGAATTACAAGATCTTTCAAATGATATCTAGGAAAAGGGGCTGGTCCTTAAAATAAGGGATCTACAGGGGCTGAAATTTTTTCCCAATATCTCAAAAAGTATTGAGAATTTATAATACATCAAAGAAGCAAAGTTGTTCAAAATGACAAGTAGCAGCTAGTGAGATCATCAAAATCCGTCCAATGACGTCACTTCCGGCCAAACAGGAAGTAGTCAAAAATTTCTTATATTCATAGATATCGGCATTGAATTGAATTAAACATGCCACAGAGGACGTCTGACAGTATTTCCTGTCGTATATCGTCACTTTTGACAACTTCCGGTTAAACCGGAAGTAACCATAAATGACTTAATTCTGCAGATATTAACATAAAATCAAATGATTTACTTCACCCAAGACTTCCGACCCAATTTTCTGTCGATTGGGGTCACTTCCGGTCAAACCGGAAGTAGTCTTAAATTGCTTTATTAAAAAAAATTATGCATAGATTTCAATCATAAAAATACAAAATACAGATTGACATCATTTTTGGTCTGGAGGCCTTCTTTTTAACGAATGGTTTATTTTCATTTACCCATCTTACAAGCAGTGCTTCTGAAAATCGGACGGAAGATCTACTCTTTGCTTTGCAACGAGCTTTGCTCTAGTTTTTTTATTATTATTATTAACGTAATGCCTACCTTACACAGGAAGAACTAAACCAATTGGACGTAGTTGTTTGTTGATACTTTGCATTGCCATGTCTTCTTATGTTTAATTATTTGCAGATTGACGTTATGTAAACTATAGACAATAAATCAAATCAGGAGGAAACATGTGTGCAATCTTAATTGCCGAGCTTTTATTTAGGTCGTTTTAAAGTAAACACAGCCGAAATATTTGTCCATAAATTTAACAACAAGGATAATTTAAATATATGTAAGAATGATTTCTTGTTTGGTCGTTTATTTTAAGGTTTCACTAAAGGCATTTTTTATAGAAACCTTTTTTTTGTCACTGGCTAAATTTTGTTAATGTTCTTTACAGTTTAACATCAATTCTCTGTAAGGACCAAAATTTTACTGTAGGGCTGTGGCACACACCATGAGCGATTTTCATGAAACTTTTTCAGGTGATTAATGCCCATACATTATGACATAATCAACATTCAAAATTAAGATTACTACCTTGGTTGCCATGGTAACGGGCTAATATAGATTTTTGCCCCATTTCTTCTCAATTCAAGCATAAAAATGCTATATACTAGATTTCATGTGGTTTAATCATCTTTATTATTTTGACATAATTCATACATTATATGAATAGAACAAATGAAGCACTATATAACACAATAAAAAAAAATTCTACAAGTCACTGCGAATTCTTCAATTGATGGCTCAAAGATGACCAAATTCTTACATTTTGAAAATGGTCGTTTTTACCCTATATTTCAAGAAGTCTTTCAAGAAATGCAGGCAATTCAAGAAAAAATCACCTGAAATTTTAGAAACACCATAATAATATTAGTTAACTTTTATGAAAAGTAGAGTGGGGATTTTTTTCGTTTTCGATATTTTTAACTTCGAAAATTGGCATTTTGCCAAATAATATTTTTTTTTTCAAAATGTTACTAGACACTGGTTGTTTTATAAAACTTCTTTTCCAGACATTTTTCTCACGAATAGATAAGACAAATGGAATAATAAGTAAATATTATTAAAGATAATAAATAAGATAAAACAAAATTAAATGAATTATTATTGTTTCTCTATGATCCTTTACAAAGGGCAGGTAACTCAAAATCTAAAGAAAATTAGCTATTCAACTTTTCACTGGAACTTATTTCAGTAAACAACATTTTCAAATACTAGATAAAAATGGAACAAGATAATGGATAAAAACTCTAATGATACTTTTCAACCAAAAAAAAAAAATAAATAAATAAATAAATAAATAAAAAATTATTACTTTTTCAGCATAGGTAGGTAGATATTAATTTAGCAGGTTTGAAATTTGATAAGCTAATGTTAATTTCCTCCATTTAAATTTTGCTTGTTCCCAGATGCAAATCTTTAGATATCAATTTTATTTGGATAAAGAAATTTAGAATTATTTAGACTGACCATAAATTAACACCCCATGTATATTCTTACAATCAGAAAACATACACATATTCATGTGTATATGTATAATTTTATCATTACTTTTAAAAACAGTTTTTTTTTTAAATTATTAATCAAGCAAGATCTACATCTAAACATTATCCAAAATGTGTATTTACAGATAAACAAAATGTAGAAAATAACTGCTATATAGCAATTTTGTAGACAATAGAAACAGCTAGGCTTGATGTTTCCATGATTTCTCTTTTCATCAGAGGTTGGCCATTATGTGGTGTTGTGTCTGATCAGTCAAGAAGAATTTTAAATGGGTTTGAAAAGTGAAACTTGAAATAATCATCTTCATCTTTTCCCCTGGAATAAAAAACATACATGTACTTTAATTAAAAATCAATTGTTTAATATCTACAGTAACTATATTTTTCATGTGATAAAAAATACAAGTATATAAGCATATCTGTTTTTATTAAAATGTATATAATACTAAGCTAGTAGTTAGTATTTACACCTTCAAATAAATTGCCTCAGAATTCCTGCATGTGTACTTTAAAAAGCAGGCTTCCTATCACAGGTGCTTGGAGACGGGACCCCCCCCCTCCCCTCACCTCCCCTGCGTTCCATACCCCAAGGGTTCTCCCCGACTTTTTTTATATAAAATATTTTTCTATGACACATTCACAAAGTTTGTTTTTTTGTAAATTGACTTTAGACATAAACAAACATACATACACATACACAAACACACCACGGCTGGAAAGCTTACATACAGATTTTTAGGAATAAACATGAAATAAAAAAAATATGAATACAC